CCGAGTGAACTTACTGCTCAGTCCTTATACTGTGGTTTAAAATATGTCTTGATTTTTGTGACGAATAGATTCCTCGATATGGAATATACGAAAAGTCCTTCAATATACTCGTGGAAATTTATCTATTCCTAGCAAAGATACGGCTATAACTGCTATATATTAATTTCGATAACAATTTTACCCTTGTGAGGGACTCGAGCTATTCAGAGCAAGCCAATAATAAGCCTATTGTGTCACACACGTGGGGGAACGCTAAAAAATGCGTAGTCAGCAAGTTTCCCACGTCCTTGTTTAAACCTGCCCGCGTGACGTCATTGCATATAATTATGACGTATGCTAATGATGATGCGCCACCACAATCTATGCTAATGACCACACGCCACCACACGCCACCACACGCCACCACACGCCACCACACGCCACCACACGCCACCACACGCCACCACACTCCTCACACGTACTCCACCACAAAAATGGGGGTTGAAAACCACATACACTACTACTTACGTATGTAGCTACATATTTGCTTGATTGAGTGAAAACACAATACGTATACGTGACGAACAAAGATTACATCTTCGCATAAATCTAGGCTAACACCGATAAATGAATTGTCATTTTTTTAACTGTAGTTAATGGTATTGTTCTTTGTTTTCTCTTAGTGGCAATATCTTTGCTTCTGTCAACTGGGTTGCAGTGGTGGAAGTTGTGAAAATAAGGTCAAATAAGGTATGTTGAATATCACTTGTCCTCAAATAGTACCTTTGTTTCTCTCTTCCTTTGACTTTGTCGAACTATCCATCTTTGGAAAATACTATGCTCGGTTCTATCACCCGTAAATGCTTTTACGACAATTTTTTTTGCTTTTACGACAATTTTTTTGTGAAATCTAGCTGCATGATCCTGTGGAAATCAAATTTGAATCACTAAATCCATAGTCTATCCACACATTTTTCATACTGTATCCATTTTATATACTATATATTTCTATCTGGATCCATGCTATTTTCATAGTAAGAATTTTGAAAAGAAAATATCCTGTAAATAAGAGAGAAAATTAACAGGAAGTGTTTTGCAAAATCTCGCGTATTGCTAGTTAACCATGCAGCACAAGACAAATTTTGTCTTTTCAACATGATGTACCGGCGAAAATCTCAACATTGTGGACAGCTAACTACAAGTCTGCCGCTTCTTGTAAAGTAGCAGTACTTAGCAATGATGCATGAATAAACTCCTACGCCGGTCAGGCAGGTACCATACAATCAAGAGTGATCGAACTGTCAAAGTTTATTTTATCAAAATTCCACTAACCCCAAATATAATATATTAGGTATGTGTAATATTTGGGTCATTCTAAGAAGAAACTTACTGTAATATGTACTTATAGTAAAAAACTATCGTCCAATCCCATCATCGAAATTGAGCTGTAACTCTTTATTTCCAATGCCACGGCCTTTGCTTGTTAGTTATCATCATGAAAATTTGGCCATAGAATTGAACATAAGAAACACTTAAGCGAATATTTTTGCTGACAGGAAATGAAGACAATGCTTATATGGTTACAGGACACCCTTTTGGGCATTTTGCGGAAAATCGCTACTGCGCGATCAATATCAGTCCGATTTTCATCAAATTTTCACCAAATGTTCTCCAGTGCATGCAAAATATGGTAAAGTACTAAAGTTGTAAAATTAACAAACAATAAAATAATGTAAGAATTAGTCAGGAAAATATTAAATCGCGGTACCTTTACGCTTTTGAGTTGTGCTCCTGCTGGTTTTAAATTATATTTATGAAAATATAATTTTTATACAGTAAAATAGTTGTTCTAAAAACGTGTGTTCGGAAATTTTTGTTTATTTCGTCATTCCGCTGATATGGCGATCTCTTTGACGACTGCAATATATTTCTGAATTGTTTCAGTGAATTGCTCTTTATTTTTAAAATATCCAAAATTTAAAAAAGCCGAACACAATTTTGAAACTGACGTATTTAGCTATGTCCTGTGAAAATTTGAGGAAAATTGGTTAAAACCCGCAGGAGCACAACTCGTTTGAAAATCAGTAATTACCGTAAAATTTCGTTCAAACTTGGTCAGATAGTAGAACAAGTCTAATGCTTTCATTGAAACCAATTAAAAAATTTTAGGCAAAATTAACACTCAAAGGTGTTCTGTAACCTTAAAAGAGCGAGAACAAATAAATATAGGGAAGATGAGGCTGAATTTTGGAATGGGAAATTATTGTTAACTCCTCGATGGAATGAGGAATTTATTTTAACCCTTTGAGTACCAAGTTAAATTTATACGATTTCGAAAAACGCAGCCTCTCTCCTTCTCAATCTATTATAATTCAATATCTTCAAAATACTGCATATAAATTATATATCAATAGAAAGCACATATGGTATACTTTTCAAAAAACATGCTTTCATGGTTAATTATGCTAATTATGACATCATATGACATCACTGAATTTTAACCAATAGTATTCGTCCATTCAAAATTCCATGATCAACCTTGAAATACAAGGTCTGTGAGAAACATACAAGGTCCAATTCCATCATAAATGAAAAAGGCAAATAGATAAAAGCAAAATCATACCAAATAAGTGACATATTCATCAGTTCTGCATATTGAGCTCACAATGTACAGCAATATACATGCCGGCAAATATAGATATTTGCATTTTGGGGTTTAAATTATGCGTTAGGAACCAAACACATGGACTTGTTGATAAACTATTGATACTAAACAATATTTTCCTTACATAAGTTTAATTTTCATTGATAAAACTACAGTACAAAACAAGAAAATTCAGTTATTATACAATGAAACACTATACATCATTGTATATCAATACTGAAACCCTCTACATGGGTTGGCTTACTCCACAATTACTTAAATTGCCAAAATAATTTAACATACCAACAGCAATGATGTCCTTTGAATTCACACATTTTCTCTACCCATCTAAAACGCTTGTTTGGACTGCAAAATCAACCATATTGCGAAGCAACAGAAAATAGACGCCATTTTTAAAGCCCAAATGTATCTAATTTCAACATCTGCACAACAATTTTTCAAAAATAAGAGGGTTTTATTTGAAAATTTGCTTTGATTCTTCGAAAATACTTGGGATTTTACTACATCCCGGGCACAGAGTAGATACTGGACAGAGGTGGAACTGAATTACAAAACGCTAATGTTTGAGTGTAACCAAAAGCTTAGCCATGTGGCTTAGCCAGTGCGCTAAGGAGAGGCATTCACCCCCCCGAAAACTTCCAAAATGGCGGGCATTTTTTACTAAAAAGATCGCAAAAAATTGTTTCGAAATCAAGGATATTGTTGGAAATCTCGCTGATTTTTGTTGAATTATTTTTATTTTCAAGTTTGCCTATGGGAAGAGGTAAATCTGGGAGAGATTTGCAGTTTCTTTTTCTTTTTTTTCAACAAAATTTTTCATATGAGCGGGAATTGTAAATATTTTGCCATATTTTGGTTTATGGGCTTAGCCTGCTTGGCTAGTTTAGCTTTAATATACCTGTAAATTTGTGTAAAATATCGTGGATCTTTTGTGGGAAGGAAGAAACTTTGCTTGACAAAGAATTTGGTTGACAAACGGCAAAAGTTTTCTATCTTAAGGTACGGTGTGAATCTTTTGACTATTAAAAACTTAACAATAACATATTCATGCTATTTTTTGCTATTTGTCTGATAGTCGGGAATTAGGAGTGCAGGGGGTTACATTAGCAATTGTCATGTGAATTCAGAATATACTAGTTAATGACTTAATCTGTTTTTACAACTTTATACTGATATTTTATGCATGAGTCAATGTAAACCCCGACCTCCCCCACCCCAGGATTTGACTTTGTTCTAATATTCACAAATGCCCCACATCCTGGTGACTATTACAAGTTCCGAATGTCAAAAAATGTCCCCTGTACCTGGGGCCTTTGCCGTAACTTAAGACTTTTTAATTCAACACTCCTAAAACAGTTTACATTTCAAATAACTATGTATGGACTGCAATGAACTACTATGAATTGCATTTGAAAAAGGTTTGGCACAAAAAGCACACAAAGCAAAGATAATACGAGCTAGACGATAAAACGCCACTTGAGATGAACAACCGCTGAAAAATCGACAACTGGCTCATTACTAATCCCTACCCAATCCCCATACCCTGGAGATAAATAAATTCTAAAAGCTTCAAATCCCCCACCCTCTTGGGAGTGTTTTCTGATCTAAACCCCTACCAATCCCCTATTAACCCCCACCCTGGCCCGGGGTGGGGGGAGTCGGGGTTTACATTGACTCATGCATTACAGTTGTATGTAGGCCTACTGTAGTTCACTAAGTTCAGTAGTTCCATTTATAAGCATTCAGCTCAATCAGCTGTGTCTGTGATTTATATATTTTGTTGCTATTTTGGCTGTAGTAACACCGTTGTTTGTGAATGCTAATAATAATTGGAATTTAACAGATGCTTAATTTATTTTATTGTATGTATGAAATAATATAGTGACATTCTTTTCCAAAATAATTTCTATATGCACCAATCATGTTAAGCATGCACCTAGATGGGAGGACAGGCTACCCATGGCTTTGTAATAGACTAATCAAGTAATAACTAATGCCTGCCCAAGACACAGCATTTTTGACAATTTTTCCCATTTGTAGAGTGGGCAAGTTATGATGAAGGAGCAAATGAAGATTGGCAAATTTGATAAAAACTCAAATATTTTTCAGTGTTCAGTATTTAAGTAGTGATTTTGGGTGTATTGATTAAAAATGCTAGCAAGATTGCTGGTGAACCTTTTATTTTTGTACTCAAAATAATTTTCCCCATGTGCATATAGGCATACCAGATAACTTCAGCCTGTGTATGCATGGGTTGGGGGTGAATTAATGGTTGAATAAACATTGGACATTTTCACTGACACTGTTAATAAAATTCTTGAGCCATATGCACCATAGAAGGAACTAATAATGTGTGAGTGTGACAATTTCACTTCCCCTGGAGGTAGAAGTGAGGCTATAGGCCAGAGTGTCAGAGGTGAATCTATAGATTCAGGTTTTTGTTTCCTGTAATGGAGGTAATAATAAGCCATAGGATTCTACATCAGCTGCATGTAAAGGCCCTCCTGAAGAATTTTTCCAGCCCCCCAACTGTTTACCTCCAGTTTTTTCAGCATACATTATCCTACATGTATCAGTGTTAAGCTCCGGAGTGTCAGACAAATAATGGTAAAATATGAACATTTGATAAATGTGGATATATTGAAGACTGAAAAATACACTGTTTACATCAATTGTTTGAATGTTATATTTTTCTTCGATTTCTACAATTCAATGTTATCTGCTGTTATAAATCATATTCTATTTTTGCCTCCATATTCCATTTCTGCCTGCAACTCTGTATTGTTTTGTATAACAAATTTTCAACTCTTATTTGTTTTGTATTGTAAATGCATTTTGTATTATTACAAAACAATACAGAGTTGCCTATTATACAAAACAATACAGGGTTGCCTGTGGAAGAGGCTAATTCTACTTAAATATTAACCCAGAACTCTCTCCTTGACAACTAAAATCATCTGGCATTAGACAGAAAATAATAAAGTAGGGTGCAATGTGACTCAATGGGTTAACTAGACACATCATGGGCAGATAGACGAGTTAACCCACTAAGTGCCAGCACTCTCCCCTTGACGAGTAAAATTGTATAGCATTAGACAGAGTAAAATAATCTGGCGTTAGACAGAGTAAAATAATAAAGAATGTTAGGGTTTGTAATCCAAGTGATTATATACATTTTAAGACCTGACCAGGAACGACTGCGAAAAATGCAGCACAAGGTTCTCTGGTAGGAATTGAACCTACGGCCCTGCGATTCCGGTGCTGCGCTCTAACCAACTGAGCTACAGAGGCCAGCTGTTGAGCTGTAACCGTAAGTTCATGTAAATATAGGTAATCAGGTGTGCGGGTTGTGATAAGGTGAACTTGGATG